ATCTTTCTCTCTCTATCTCTCTTTCTTCTACTAGCTACATAATCTTGGCGAATATTAGCACCCCTCGTCTTGAACATGTGGGGAACTACCCCGAAAAATTCGATGTGGCGATATACGTACAACAGATATCGCTAAAGTGCGAAATATGAAAGCTCAGGTTGTCAATGATTTTTTTAACATCTAGGAATACGAGAGATCAACAATATGTAATCAGAAATTCAGTACAACACATGAAATTCAATAATATTATAATATTCCTAGGATTTTTTGGAGAGTCTATAATCCTGAGAGAACGAAAATTAAAATTAGAAATTAAAAATAAAAATATTAAAATTAGGAACATTAAAAATAAAACATGTTCTATAAGACTTCGAAAATTCAACAATTCAAGGACTTCAGAAATCTAATTTATAGATTTAATGTTGATCTTAAATCCGGAAAATTAAGAATCCAGACACGATCATGTAATTTTCCTTTAGAGACCCAAAAAAGTTTCATGTGAACTCGACATCGTTTAATTATGTTATTCTTTCTTTTTAAAATTTTAATCGATAACGTGTAATTGTTTCGTGATTCGTGAAAAAGTTCATGAAGAATCAAAAGTTACATGATTGGTGTCCTGACGATTTAGATAAGAAATCTAAAATATACAGAAAAAAAGTATGATCACTTAAATTAAAGAGCTTTGCAACTTAGCACACTTTAGTTACATCCAATATATATAATTATATGGACGTATATGTCCTTAATAAGCTCACTTTGTAATATTTAGCCCACTCTCTACTCTCTCTTTGGATAAACGTAAAAAATATATATATATATTTATATATATATTTATATATATATATGTATATATACTACTTCAACATGCAACATAATCTCTCATTCTCTCTTTCATTCCCCGTTTTTTATTCCTCTATGAAAATAATGATAACATTAACGCATTCACATAATTCTATTATCATTATCAATATACTAGATAACAAAAAAGAGAAGAAAACAAAATAACTTCAATTATCAAACAATATACATATTCTAAATATATGAAATATATACTTGAGACATGTGAAGGCCACAGCGACGAGATGATCCATTCTTTCGCAATGAAATCAAGTCAATAATAATCACAACAGCGTAAACAATAATGATTCATATAATTACGCGTTTATATTTCCGGCATTTTTTTAACTTTGCAAAACGCAAGAAAAAATTCCAAGATTCAAGAAATGAAGACTGAAAACTTGGCCGGATTTTTCTTCTTCACTATCCTTCTTAATTTCTTTTGTCAATATTAAATTATTAATATTAATTAACTCTACCACGCTGTTGGATCTCCTAATTGTACGATTCACATACAATTGGATAGTTTTAAAACGCGACGTTTAAGGATTAATTAATTATCTGAACATTTACAACATATTTCTGTACATTTGCATTATTCACTCGGAGAATTCCTGCAAATAAAAAGAATTTAATTAGACCAAAATAAAACACAAGATAATATGCAACGTACCTAGTCGCGTATATCATTGAAGATAAATAACGAATCGCCAAGAAAGATTGACAATTCATAGAAAAAAACATATAAAGAAAGAAAAAAATGTGAAAGAGAAGAACATCTGAGTTTGTCGCGCTTTCTCGTGCGCCCGTCTTATACTTAAATATTAATAGTTCTCGATCTAAGATGATCTACTGCTGTGGACTTACGGCATTTCCTCACCGTGAATCACAGAACGATCAGGAAGTATCTCTGAAAACTTTGGGTCATTAAGAAATTTATTATAATGCTTTAAATAGCGAAATGTCTCATAAACGTAGTAGTCTTATTGTAATATCGAACAAAATCAATTATAAACTTTTTGGGAAGGATGATGAATTCTGAAAAGTACATGAAAACATTCTTACGTCTTCAAAAATGCACGAAATTCTCTAGAGTGTGTATTACAGTAGCTATATGCTATTATGTGCTACTAAACACTCGTTTAGAAACGCTATTCAGCTGGACTCTGCCATTATCGAAAGGATTAAGATTAGAATGTTGGAAATTGAGACTTTTAAAATCCCAAAATTAAGATAATTCCAAAGAGGATAATATGTTCAACACAAGATAAATGTGCTGAGACCCAAAGTTCACTTACTGCACTTCTACTTTCCCCCTTTTATAAAAGACTTCACATCACAAATGTGGCACAGAATTGTCAATATCGGAACAAAGTAACGACCTTGCAATCCGAGTTGAGATTAATCCTGCACAATAACAAGTCAAGACAACACAAGGTTTAAAAGACATACGAAGGGCGCTCAAATTTAAATTCTATTTTAAATTACGCGATTAAATAACGAGGCGGGAGTACAGTCATCACATGATCCTTTGAAATATAATATGTAAATACTTTCTTGAAAAAGTCGATAAACCTGCGCAAAGTACAGTAGAAGCGGCAAACATGAGCGAAAAAGTTCATCTACGTGTGTATTGTTATTGATGTTCTTGAGCGGCGAGAATGCGATTTGTTCTCGAAGCGTTGTTGTCCTTCTTTAACTCTTTACTTAATTTATAAATGCTTATATCCAACATTTCTGCACCATACTATGCCATTGTACATATTTCACAAGGATTTTATTCCTTCCTTAGTAAAAAAAAAATTTAATTATCGTCCATACACAACTCTGCCCATAAGCTGTTCGCGTTATTTATATTTTGCTTCCAGTATCTTCATTTTCTTTCTCTTCAACTGTCGAATATATGTACTTAAAAAAACAGATATTTACTTGCGTTACATGTAATAGAAGTAAATTTCAAGCAGATACATTAAAAATAGTTAATATTGTCAATAAAAATAAAGTTATAAGTAATTTAAATTTAACATTTACTTGTATTAAATTTCATGTATAGCTACGTAAAATTTAATGAAAAATGTATTGTATTTCGTAAAATTTTATGAAAAGTACACTAAATTTCATGTACATGTACACAAATATACTTTTCAGTTGCAAATACATTTAATTTAATTTATGTAACTTAAAAGTACATTAAATTTCATGACATTTTTAACAGTGTATATTTATCTTGGTTTTTTAGAGATTTTAAGCAACTCTTAAAATAATCTCATATTCACTTCTACCGAACTTCACAGGTCTATCAATTTTTTTCAATAAAGTACATATTTCAGAGTATTATCACATGCATTGTTGTTATTTAAACGCGCAATTTAAATAATAATTTAAATTTGAACGCCCGTCTTATTCACCTATAAAACGTTTTAATTGTTCAAACGTTCTTGAATCTTTGTATCCCACATTTAGCTAATTACGGCCTAGTCTAAGCTCCATGTAATATTTGAAACACTCTTCAATATAAGGCAAGTGAAATTTAAAACCAACCGTCTATGTTTAGCATCAAATGCAGGACACGGAAGGCAGTTCTTTAAACTTTCATTCGGAAATAAATTCGTTGAAGAAAATCATCCTCTTTGTCTTTGTTGCGAAACGCAATACTACTACAAGAGGAATCCGCTTTGCGGAAGCTGCTCGAAACAGTTGGGATTGATGTAGCTTAGAAGATCATGTTCCGACATGGAAGTGAGTTCTTGAGGCAGCATTCCATCCTCCGTCTTTCTACTAGTTGAGGTACTCGGGGCAGAATTGGGAATCGGAGCGTTTACAGTCTGGCGATTTGAAGTGACTGGGAGTGTGACTGGTGGTGATTTGCTGGCGACTTGTTCGATGATGTTGTTTTGTGCCGAGGGAGATTTCGGTAGGATTCCCTCCATCGCATTATTCATCAATTGCGCACTTTGAGTCGCTACGCTGTTTAGAATTTTCTTTGTGGCGATGATTGCGTGAGCGGTAGTTGTCGAGATCGGCCGATTGTTGATAATATCCTTTGTGGCATTGGTGATGACACTGTTGATAGCTTGTTCCGCTGCGTTGGTCAAACGCTGTTGAGAGGGTTCCTGAGCAGCTCCACTAGCTAAAGCGGAGCTAGCTTCGGCCACAAAACCCGCAGGCTGGTTCAACATGGAACCGATGTCTTGCTGAACAGCCTGCTGCATGGCTTGGGCTGCTTGAGCCTGTTGAACAGCTTGCTGCACTGCTTGTACCTAAACAATTTTTTATTTGACATTAATTGCTGTCTAATTTGGAATCATAATTTTTAGTAATGATAAAGAGAAAGAAGAGCAATCACTTTTTTTTTAAGTCTAGAATTATAAAAACTTTGTGTTATGTTTTTAAATTTTGTGGAAGAAAAAATATATATACATATATTTAAAAGTTTGCATTTATTTCTATATTTTTATTTATTATAAATTAAATGTACGATAAAAATTACCAACCTGCTGCACCACTTCTTGCGTTGCTTGCTGCACTGCTTGTTGCACAACTTCTTCAGTCGCCTGCTGCACCGCTTGTTGCACTACCTGAGCCGCTTGAACTTGCTGCACAGCTTGTACTTGTTGTACCGCTTGCTGCACTACTTGAGCATGCTGCACCACTTGCTGAACTACCTGTTGCTGAGCCTGGTGCACTACTTGGACCGCCTGTTGCTGCGCTTGCGCAACAACTTGTTCAACTTGCTGCTGCGCTTGCGCTACTACTTGCTCTACTTGTTGTACCTGTTGCTGCATCACGGCTACCTCTTGTTGCGTGAGTACTTGAATCTGCTGTTGCATACGCTCTGCTGGTATCGCATTACCAGAAACCTGGGGAAAAACAACAGAAAGAATATGTTATATTTATTTGCATTAAAAGGAATTTTATCCTAACTGAAAAATTTTATTCTAAAATTGTAGATTTTTATTTTTTAAGCTTTAATTTTAAATTCCAAATTTGGTTTTTGCTACTAACTTTTTTGTTCAACCATTTATATCTGTTTTGTTTTTGGATAAGAAAATACCGTAGAATTTGGTGTAGTAGTTGCTGCGGTGACTTGTGTTTCTGGCAATGGCGGTAATAGTGCAGCGTTGATAGTAGTCAGAAGATTATCTCCTGGTTGTTCTACTGTCGTCGCAGGTGCTACCGATGTTGTACCCGCAATTTCTGCTAATGGCTGTACCGTTTGCGACGGAATCAGCGCTTCCAACAGCATTGTCTTCACCGGAATCGGTGGACTATTTCTAGTCTGTTGGCCGCTACCCATTGTTTCGTGTTCTGCTGCTACATGGCTCAACATTGCAGTGGGATTGGAATTTACCGGATGCAATGGAGAGACCATCTGTTCAGCCGCAGAGTTTACTAAAGCATCCAACTTTACAGATGTTTGTCCTGAAAAGAATACCGTCACAATATTCTATTTATATATATATATTACACAAAATAAATTTCTTGTATTTTTTAAATTATAATTTGCAAAATTTTCAGTAAAGAAAAACTTTAAACTTATTATAATAAAGTAAAAAGAGATTACGTCTATATAAATAAAGCTTTTAATTATATATTACATCTATTATTTTCTGTGCAATTGTACCTGTATTGGCTAAAATTCCCGGGGGAGCTGCCGACTGTTGGCTGCTTCCCGAAATAATGGAAGCTCGCTGCTGTTGCATAGCGAACTCATTTTCTGGATTATCTGATTCCTCGGTGGTGCCAACCGAGGATTCCATGTGATTTAGGTACTTCTCCACCACATGACTGTTTGCCGCCGACAACGGCTGCGTCCCAGAAGCACCAGAAAAACTCGATAATGTGCCAAATTCGGGATGATGGTGATGTTTCATCCGAAGATCGACTACACCAGCACCTTGAAGGGCAGCTCCATTGGAGCTATTGTCCGTTGATAAGACACCATTTGTGTCCTTAAGGCAATGAGGACTAAGAACTTGAACTTGATTTGATTCATGCATGCCTACAATCGACAATTAAGAAATGTCTATTTTAAGAGAAGTAAAATTATTTAAAATTTAATTAAAAATTTAAAAATAACAGTAATCAAGATTTTAATGATTAAATTTACCGAATGTTCGATTTAGTTTTATTCAGTCAAATCAAAGACTTGTTACTCACCTCCAAACGAAGTTGGATGATGTGCAGCCACCATTGACAGAGGATGCTGAGTACGTATCAGATCCACTACTCCGAGAAGGCCATTTACAGTCTCTTGCACAGGGCTGTTATTAGCCGTCGCAACGGTAACAGTCCGAATAATATCAGTTTGCGAGTTTGCAGCTTCTCTAGAGTTCTCATTAACCAACTGTTGAAGAGGAGAGGTGACTGATGTCGGTCCATTCGTGGCCGTCGTCGGAGTCGGAATGCTTTGCATGCTATTTTCACTTAGCATACTATTTTGACTGTTTTCATCTAGCACTTCTGTTTTTAAGTTATCCGGCAGGATCAGCTGAAGATTAGACGAGGATCTTCGGTTCATTAGGGGATTTGCTACGAGCACTGGGGGTGGCATCATGACATCGGAAGGTGGGTTTGAAGATTGTGAGGCCCACAACATTATGGGAGTCACTTGGGATGTTCCCGCTGGTGGTGGGCTGGGGTCACTCTTTAAAGTCTCCGAAGAGGTGTTTTGTTGCGCCTGTGCCGGTGCATTCGACAAGAAATTTGCAGCTCCCGCAGCTGTTGGCGTTAACAGACCTGATAAATTTAAAATACATCATGTTCAATTATTTCTCGAAATATCAAAATCTTTTAGAAATTTAAAAAACCTAAAATTAGAATAAAAATTTTAAAAACTTAAGAATGCAAAAATGGAAGAATTCAAGACATGAAAAGATATAATATTTAAACATATATAGGAGTTTAAAATTAAAATACCCAGACATGCAGGATTCTAAGAAAAGTAGATTTAAAATTAATCTAGATCTACAAATATAGAAATCTAGAATCTAATAATCAAACTTACTGCTGGATGGGACACCCGTAGCTAACGATACCGCGGAGGAGGATGTGGCCAAGTGATTAGCGTCACCGTTTGTTAGCGGAGGTGAGATGGACTCGACTTTACCTATGGACGGCTGTGGGGGAGTAGAGGCAGCCGTGTAAAGAAAGGTATGCGGTTCGCTGGTCTTTCCGGATGACACCGCGAACAATTTGACGCTGACCGTTTCTGTAGGCGCTAGATCCTGCCTACGATAAGGCGGTATCACGCATACCAAGTGTACTGGGTGCAAGTGCTCCTTGTCCGGTAGCACAGTGCACTCCCAATGCGGTTCCAAGCTACTCGATAGATCGTCGTTGTCCAACTGAAAGACTATTCGAGTGTCTTTCAGGAAATTCTTACCGAGTATAATGAGTTCTAAACCGCCCGTGCACGGACAGGATGTCAGAGACTTTTTGCAAATCTCCGGAATACCAGGTGGTTGGGCTGCGACATACAAAACTTTATAAGAAAACTGAACAAATCGTGAATGTTCTTTATCGAGTCCGAATCTCTATTTTCAACTTTTTAATTTAAATTCAACGATTCAAAAAATTTTTAGAAAGCAATCTTCGACAAGTTACTTTATTAGAAAGTAGCTCTTCAAAGGATTAAATAGCATAATTAAACGATACAAGATTACGATAAAATGCGGCTCGATTTTTATTATAGTCATAGTTACAGTCAAACTATATAACTATATAATATATACGCGGACCACAAAGTATTAATCAATTCTCTTATCTGCTTTTCTAAGTGTCTGAATAAAATATCCATTGAATCAATCAACTCACTGCAGACTATCGGCTGGGAACAGATTTGCAGGGTCTCTGTAGTTCCGTCGGCGTGCTTGATAGTCGTGCGAAAGACCATGCGGCACCGTGTGGATTTTTTCTTGCTTCTTCCTTGTAACAGCCCAGCTTCTTGAGGAAACCTATGCTCGACGTCAACATTACGCTCTTTAAGAATGCCAACGCAGTCGCAGGTAACATCTTTTGCCGGATCCATATCAATCTCTATTACAATAGTACCATCGATCTTCCGCTCGGCACAGGGTGTCGAGTTCTTGCCGCTTACTCTACAGGCCTGGTAGAACATATGGGGTGCCACTCGGCCAAGATCAGTGCCGATAAACACTTGTAAACTCGTCGGTTTGTCGTAACCGATCAGTCGAACGATGGGAAAGCCATTTCCGCTACGATCTTTCACCGCGCCTCGCGAACCTTCCGTCTGATAGCGAGCTCGATGCTGTTGTTCGGGTTGACACACGATTTGCAGTTGAGTTTTGCCGTCGGCAGAAACGTTGGCTGAAGATCAAAAAATACCGTAAACAATATTAGATTATACTGCGTGGGTTTAACTAGGGAGTAAGACAGGTCAGGAAATAATTTACGAAACATGCAGGTGTGAGCAAATACAGAGTGCTAGATTGCCGGGAGCTTTGGATAGCGAAATGTTTACTGTTGATCTATTGAAAGAATGCCAAAGAAAAATATAGATATATAAATATAGATATATTAGAATACCTATAGATATATTATAGCATTGGAAATAATCCAAGAATAAACTTGACGCATAATAAATTAATAGATTCTTGATTATTTCAGATTTGGAAGAGATCCAGAAGATAGATAAAGACTTTATCTATAAAAAAATAAATTATTTCAAATTTAAAATATTCGAACTTTAAAAAAAATTGGCACGGATTTGAAAGAAATCTTCTACAAAAACTTTGGAAGTATTTAAAGTTCTAATAATTTTTATTTCTTAATTTAGAACACAGAAATCACAAAAATCCGAAATTTCCAAATTTTAACTTTGTAAGATAAATCAGTTTGCAAATAACTTATATCAATAACAACGAATCCACCATTAATCAATTTGACTTTTTAAAATAACACACAAGAGACACTTTTATTATCATTTTTACGCAATTATCTATGATAAAACACATTACTCCAACATTCGTGAATTTATAGCTACTGCATGGAATATACTTGTTTGACCTATATTTGATATCAAAAAGAGAAGTATCAAATTTCGCGTATGTTATCTTTTTTTCTTATCGCTGCGAGAGAAAGAGAAAAAGAAAGCCTCAGCTCTCGAACCGAAGAAGATAACTTATCGGTAGTGAAAGCGATAAAATAAGCAATTTTGCCGGAAATAAATCCATCACTGAGTTTGCTCTTATTATAAAACATTGAAGGTGTCAATGCGACTTGTACGATCAAAGTAATAAATTGTTTACCCGGCAAGACAAACGAAAGCTTTTAAAGAGAAGCGACTAAGTTTATGAGATGCAATAAAGTCCATGAGACTTTTGTTGATATTACTTCAGTTAATATTGAACATAAACCACATCTTTTGCAACTTTGTTTATTAATATTGATAAACAAGTTACAGAAGATGTGGTATTTTTGTACAATTGCATCAACCAGCACACACAATACAATTGAAAATATTAAATTATGTAACAAATATCTCATTTAAAAAGAGAAATCAAAATTGGAATTATTCTTGATAAAAGATAAAATATCTGAGAAACCGTAGTTTTAATCCAGATAATACGCACGTCTGAAAAACGTCTAAAGATTTTATGAAGTATTATATGAGGACTTCATGAAGTCTTTTACAATGTGAGTTGTCTGGAAAAAATTCAAGAATCTGAAGATACAAACTCAAGTAATCTAAAGACCAAAGGTTTATAGAGTCAAGAGTTCACGACTTGAAAAAAATTAAAACAATCGCTAGAAATGATTCAGTATCTACAGTCTGTCTTAGAGTTGGAGTTGAACTTGTTTCTACCACAACGTATAATACATTCATGCTTAACCCTTACTCTACATTTATTTAAAAGACGTACATAATTGCGAAATAAGAGTAACAGGTCCCTGATGAGTAATCGGTGCCTTTTTGGACAATACACCCATGGCAGGTCGGGGTCTAGTTACTCCCACAACTCTACCTATGGAATTAGCGTTTCCGGATCTATTGCCGGATATTCCTCCCAAACCGATTCCATTGACGGTGGTTCTGATTGTAGGTGATTTATTGTCGGGGCTGGTTCCGGGGGCTACTTCCGGAAACGCAAAATTTGCGTCCTCGGACTCTAATTTAATATCCATTTTCCTTCTCTTCGAATCCTCCTCGCCAATGTTGTTCCAGAGCTGATAAAATAATCACACAATTAATCATTCTATGTATATACTGGACACTTTATGATAAATATTCACTAAGAAAAATTTCGAATTAATTTAACACTTAAACAATCAGCAGATGAAAGATAGTGCTAAAACCTGAAATATTGTATCACACAAAATTTAGCAGTGGTTAATATACTAGTAATAATAACTCCATTATTTTATTTTTTTTTTTTAGTAAATTTTTAATCAATAAACATATCAAGGTTATTAAATTGAATTAAAATCGAACTAAATTATTGTTCTTATTAATTTCATTTATTTCGAATTAAATTATTTTTTATGCATATTAAGTTAAATCGAATCATTATAAAGAGTTCTCAACATGAAATATTAAAATATAGCATCACATATTTCGCTCAATACTATGGGAAAGAGCTGAACGATCAGTATAACGGGAACACCCCGTATGTGCGTGAGCGTCTGTGTGCTTAATTTAACGAATCAGAACTCGGCTGGGTTCAACTACCGTTCGAGCGGTCGGCGATCTCCGATGATGATATTGATGACGATCACGCGTACCCTCGTGAACACATTAAATAACTTCATCTGGCTTCTAACGACAGGGTGACTCAGTGCCGTAATCGTAGTAAGAGTGAGGAAAACGCACAGACCACAAGAGGGGCCCGTCAACTCTTCCTCCTTCTTCTTCTTCACTTTTCCATCTTTCAGCAAAGAGAAAAAGAAAACAAAACGAGAAATATATCGGAAGCGAAAAGCATTAGATTCGATTAGTAACTTGCGGAATCTTGAAAATTTTATCAATATTTTCAAACGGATAAGATACTCAAGTTGCTCTTTCAGGTAGCTTCCATTATACTCTTAAGATTTCCTATAAATATGAAATTCGAAAACAAGTTTACGGGCCCCTGAAATCTTCTAAGAACTTCTACATAAGATAACAGAATTTTATAGTACAGATGTTAGATTTTTCACAATAGATATATATTGAACTGTTATAATAAATACTTAGATAATTACTATATACATATTCTAACAAACAAGATTAAACTGGAATCATTTGGTTTGCAGAATTTTATTTATCATAAAAGGTACTAACAGTGATGTTGTTGAAGTGCTGCTGACGTTCGTCAGAGCCAAGACCGGAATCGTTCGAATTGTCGTCTTGCGTAGTACCGGTCCTAGGTCCGTGTTCATCAGAACTCCTCGCAGTTATACCACCGAAGGATGATAATAAAAATCTGGGTTGTTTTGCTTGTTGTTGCTGCTGTTGTTGTTGTGGGATTTGTTGCTGCTGTGACTGCTGATTAGGAACCGTCCTCCTGGTCGCGGAATGGGCACGATTACCTATGGTGCTTCTCGAGACGGACGATGTTGTCACCGTTGACGACGCACCGCCTGCATTGCTACCTGTAAATTAGATTTCGTTATTCCAGTATCGCCTTTCGCTACTACAGTTTTCAAGTGAGATGAAGACAATTTCAACACTTTAAACAGATGAATAGATAAACACATAAATAAAAGGAACACACAGATGGATGTAAAGATAGATCTTATAAAATATGAAATTATCATAAATTCTATTATTCTGATGTCATAAATCCTCAGAGAGAATCCTTAAAATTGTTAAATCACAAATCCACAAATCCTCAAAACCTTAAAGCCACAAATCTTCAAGTCCTCAAACTATACAAATCCTCAGAGTCATCAAAACCACAAATCCTCAGAGATCTCTCAAACCTCATCAATCAAGTTTAGAGAGTATAGAGAAGAATTAATTTTTAGACCTTTATTTCTAAAATTGTATTTGTTTGAATTTCCAGATTTTAGTGAATTCCCCATTACTCTTTGAAAGTAGGTTAACCAAAACACTGAAATTAAAGAAAGTATACTACCGATCAGTAGAATCATTGCGGTCCTCAAACTATCGGTCCGCTCGCCGATGAGATTAAAAACCATCCCTCGCCAAATTTATGAGAAACCGCTCGATGCAACATTGACAAACCGAGTCTCGATTTACGCGTCAGGCGCGAAAAGTCGGCGTCGTATGCATCGTCGAGGAATGAAAGAGAGAGAGATAAACTCGGAGGGAAAAAAAAGGATATGAAACATACCGAGAACCGGGGCGAAAGAGGGATAAAAAAGAGAAATGAGATGAGTGCAGGAGTACGCGGGGGGAGAGAAGCAGAGCAATGTCGGACGGTCTATCTATAGACCACCTATAGACTACTAGGACGAGATAATTGCGTGGGGGTGAAGTTGCAATCGCGGACGCAACTGGTGGCGACGGGGTTCGATTCTTCTCCCTCCCCCCCCTTCCCGACCTCATCTCCCACCACCGATTGCAAGGGGTGGGCACGTAATCGACGCGTGCACATACGTGCATAAGAGATGCATCTGTGTGAACGTCGAGGAAAATCACGGAACGATGTCAACGACCTAGCTGTCGGTTTCCAATCTCGTTTCTCTCGCTTTCTCCCTTTCCCCTCGTTCCTTTTCTGATGCCGCTGTTGCCGATCATTATGTCACGTTGCAACAAATATACTCTTTCCTCCATACGCCGTTAGATTATTCAAGATCTAGATCAACCCTGTGTGATCTTCCACTTTATTCTAGTATTACTCATCATTTTTATTTGCGTCACTGCATTAAAATTTATGATTCGTGTATATAACACCTATATAGCACACTTTACTTGAGGAATTAACCTGGGATTAACATCTTTAAAACGACATTTACATGAAATTTTAAGGCGTAAATCTTAAGTCCTAAGATATAAGAAATTGATCAATCAAAAAACGTAAAGAAAATATTTCTTATGGCTTATTCTAGAATTGGAAAGAGACAAAGTAAGTAAGTTGAAAAGAGAGTAAGTTGAACCTCGATTAAGAGTTAACCGTGAATTGTAAAACTGGGTCTAAGACTTAAAGCTTAAGTTTTACATCATAGACCCAGTTTTTAAGTTTTTAAAATTTCATTGTGCACGCCGCTTAAGATGTGTATTAAGTCCCCGTATTAAGTTCCATGTCCACGATGCTAGAAATCGATTCGAGATCTCGGACAGAGAAAAAATTAACAAATCACATTTGAACAATTTGATCACATGACCATTGGTCAATTCTTTCTTCATCCGAGGTTTCGGATTGATTTCCAGCATCATGGACACAAGGCTTTAAGGTGTCTACCAAAGGAATATTGAGGAACTTTTTGTTGGAGCATTCTATTACTGCCTGTTATTACTTACATGCTGAAAACAAGCAATTTTTAACAGCTGATAGAAACAATTTCTCTACTAAGTAAACTCAATTCGGAGGAACATTTTAGTTTTGTTATTAAGAACAACAATTTATTTCCGCAACTTAATGTATTCACCAGATCAACAAAGACTACGTTTTGTAAAGCATATAATGGGCATGATATATCAATGAAGCAACATAAGAAACAGAATGTTGCCAATTATAGCCTATACTTGTTGCTCCTATATAGAAACAGGCAACGTATTGTGACGGCAATAAAGAACATAATGGAATATATCGAAAGATATACTGAAACTTTACTTACAAAAACAGGTAAAAGAAATAAGTGTTGCTCTACGTTCCTTCGGTGGGTACGCACTTTTAGGAAATAACACGTAGTGTAAAATTATCTTTAATGATACAAATTAGTACGAGAAAAATACTGAATATTCCAACAAGTTCGACTTTTTAACTTGCTAATTTGGTCCAGCTAACTCAATAGAGGTGGATGCAGTCCTCTGGATGTCTTTTGAAAGTCTGTGCTGTATGAGCAGAACATTCTTTTTTTCTTCATTTCATGAAGAATTCGAAATAAAATTTATTGTCTATGAAGTTCTAATACTTGGAATAGAGGTTCTTTAAAGTCCTATCTAAGGTAAGTAAATACTGGCTTTAATTCAATTCTACTTCGTTCTAATCTACTTCTAATTCGTTCTTATCTACTTAAATATCGAAAAACCAACTTTAGACACTTAACACCGTCAGTTATGTGATCAACAGGTCTATGACTTCTAAGATCCATTCTAAAACCGATTCAAGTTTCAATTTCAGTGTTCAATTTAAATCAGTTTGAATCTTCCAATTTTACCGAGAACGTAAACATATCATGCATGCAAGCAATATCGCAAAAAAGTCTGAAAAAGTATCCTAATTCTGTAACGAATGTCAATTTTATTCCAAAGACAAACGTTACAAATTCCGAGCTTCGCCCGCATTTTTCCTGCTTCGAGAAGAACGTAGCCACTCCTTGTCCCTCCTTCGGATGTCTCGCAAATAACCGATAGCTGCATAATCAAGCGGCAATGTCATAAAGATAATAATCGCGAAGGTCTCGTGGGTGGCGACGCTCTGATGGCTTTAATTACCCTGGCAATCTCGCCAGCCGACAGATAAACGCAGCAGAACGTCTCTGTACACCTGCAAGCAGAGGTGAATGTATCTCTTTATCGCGCCGCGGGAAGCGAGCGCGAGCGCGAGCGCATGGAAGGGTACCGCCAAGACGAATTAGGGCTCCCACCGGTATATTTGCGTCTCTCTAGCCGCGTCCTCGAGCCCGACGGAGGCAGAAAGGAATAGAGAAAGAGAGAAAGAGAATGTACCCTCGATAACAGGATCGATAAACATCGTTACTATTACACGACAAACAGAGCGCGAGCGCGCTAACTACGGCGCCTCTCCTCTCGAGTCTCAAGGATATATCGTTACGAGGACGAACGGACGGAAGGACAAGTGGAACAGACGGATGGACGAATCGATGCCCAATCGATCGTCGTGGCATTATCGGACGGCCACCGTCCTCCTGAAGGCACGAAACGAGCCGATTGCTGCGATTCTCAGTATTCATTTTGCATGAATCCATGATCGAAAACTCGCGGAGAACGTAACCTGTAAAGGGTACCGCAAAAAGAAAAAAAAAACGAACATTGCAGCTCTGTAATAGTCTGTTATTCCATAGACAGCAGATAACGGATAATAGAATTTTATAAATAATATAGATGATTAATGTTCTATGAAAGAACTTTCAAAACTCTATGATAAATAAATGAATTGAGCCATAGATATCATATTTCTAAAATCAGATACGCGTGCAGACGTTTAAAAGGTGTATTGAGTCATAAATACAATACCTAGATAATAAAATTTGTTAAAGATGATTAAATGGAAGTTCGTAAGTCGAAATCGTTGGTTTTAATGATGAATCATGTTGTATTACTAGAGTTCGATATTATAAACTAGAAATGTCTGAATACCTACAAATAGGTGACGAAGAAAGCCGGTGGTCAAAGCGGATTTTGATGCCTGATAATATTTCTTTTACGTAAATTTTACAATTTCCAATTCATATGCCATCCGAGCATTGAATTTTTCTTTCAGAAAGCATAGAATCATCGAGCCGTATAGATTCGATGAAAAAATATCCACTTAAATTCACCGTTATTAAATTAACGATTATACGGATCTATAGCTACTTGTTTAACTTCTTCTGCCGAACGGTACTTCAGCGAGACATTTATCCCTTTTTTCTCTGTCCCTTTCTCTCGCGCGCAAATACTTTGGGACCTCCTTGGATTCCGACGAACAATTCGTTGTGAATGCAAACTCGCGTAGCGGTTTGTGTACACTTAATGGCATCTCTGATAGCCTACTTAAGTAGTCGAGATAAGGAGCTGAAGAATCTCCAGGAGCTCGGCACTGCTTGGCACCAGTACTGAAAGAAATAATGCAAAGTGATAGAAACGCAGTACATTTCTTACTGCCCATACAATTTCGACAATTTCGAAAGTAACAGAGTTTAAGAAGCGGGTCTAATGTCTTGCGGCGATATTAACAACGCTTCCAGATTCGATTAAATTAGATTAAGAGAGTTCAACATGTAAATGAGAATGAAACAGAGAGAAAGAATTTTAAATAAAATTCACAAAATTGGATGACTTTGTGCATCAGTAAAAAAAAAATACAATAGCGTTTGTAGCGAAGAAGAAAAAAATAAAAAAGCGAAATATCAATGTTATTGATTACTTATAGCTGATTAGAAGCACGAGGATGACTTAGCGATAAAAAAACATTATATATCTATTCGAATGGTCTCGATAAGGAGATAATGAGTTCAATGATTGATGGGCACGTTTGTGACGAAAAAAAGAGTCAGACTAGATCTTGGAGCAATAATAGGAATATACGGCTCATTGATAACTTTCTCACAATGGCATTCCCATCATTAATATTCACGACACTGCGTGAATTTCTGTGATTTTCAATAGTGTCGTCAATTTTATCATGATTTTATCGTGTGACATGTATACATAAACCGTTATATTGCGACCTTGAGGATCAGAAATCCATAGAAAAACATGCATAAATTTATAAACATGTCCCAAACACGCACCTTCTCTT